TGTGTGAAGTAGTTGGATTCTGGAGGGTAGATTCTCTTGATGTAGTTGAAAGTTGGGTGTAAACTGTTGGGGTTTTTTCGTTTTGTTAACAATCATGTGTAAGCTGATTGGTTCCCTGGATTTAGTTAACAGTCAGCTGTGAGCTGGATGCCTCTTGTTTAAGTCAATCAGAACCTGATTGGTGGGCCTTTGTATTTAAAAGTCGGTTTGGTTCTTTGGTCTGCAAGCCCTTCGGTTTGCTGTTGATTGTGTTTGGGAAGAGCATTTTTCTAGGCAGTATAGCATTTGTCTGTCAGTGTACTGTACTGAGATAAAGTTGGGGTGGCTGTCATCCTGAGTGCTGTGCCACTGGTGTGTCACATACAATAATGGTTACTCATGGTGGACAGGGTTTGGTAGAGCTCTCCGATTAAGAGAGGCTTGGAAGCAGGATTAGCATCGACTTCCTAAACACCAGGCCTTTGCTGTTGAAAACTCTACGAACATTAGATAAGTGACGGTAGTTATAGAACAGGGTTCAGATCTTTTTGTTCATAGGGCTGCTATGAGTCATACTTGACTCCATGGCACTTAACAACAACGACAACAATAACATATAACTATGTACACACACACACAAAGCCATACAATAGTTGTCCCTTTGTAATTGGTTTATTTCAATCAGAGTAACAACTTCAAGCTCCATCCCAATGTGCTAAGACTTCATTTCTCGTGCTGGCTTATGAGTAGTATTCCATTGTATTTCTGTGCTACATTTTGTTTATCCTTCAGTCTGTGGATGGTTGGTTGTTCTCTACCTTTTGGTTATTGTGAACAGTGTTGCCATGAGCATTGATGTACACATCTTTGAATCTCTGATTTCAAGTCTTTTGAATAAATATAAGTGAAATTGCTAGAGCATATGGTTCTTCTTTTCATTTTTTTTTTTTAGTAGCCAACATACTATTTTCCACAAGGCTGGTACTATTTTAAATCCTCACAGGTTTTAGTTTCCCCATGTTCTTGCCGGTGTTTGGTATTTTATGATTAAGTTGCACATTTTAGCCATCCTAGTGGAGGTGCAGAGATAGCTCACTGTGGTTTTGGTCCACATCTTTCTTATGGCTAATGACACTCAGCACCCTTTTATATGTGTGGTGGCCATTTGAATGTTCTCTTTGATGAAATGTCTACTCATGCCATTTGCTCATTTTATAATTGGTTGTTTATTTGTTGTTAAGTTGTTTAACTTTTGTATTAATTTTGGTTAGTATATTCTTGTCAGGTATATGATTTCTGCAGATATTTTCCATGTCATTAGCTTGTCCATGCTACAGAAGCCATAGAAAACAAACAGTGTGTAAATATAGCCTTTGGAGTTTTTTTCCTTATAATTCTTTAATGAATAAATTGAAAGTCAATATTCAGAGAGTTGATTAGTCTTCCGAGCATGCCAGTCACATCTATTGACTTACACTAATAAATTCAATTAGGAATTTTGAGGTTCAATGATTTTAAACTCTTGTTAACTGATTTGATAAATATGAACTCTGCTGAATTTATATACTATATATCTCAATAATAAAATCACAGCATACATGGTCTGGGTTTTCCTTGGTAGATTATCTAAGGTTGTAAATAATACTGTGAATTTTCTTTATTACCAGCAAACAGAGAAGGCTGAAGAGGGTGAAGAGAATGAGGTTCCAAAGGAGGAGGGTGTAGATGGGGACAACCTCCCTGAATCCCAGGATAAAAATGTGAGTGCTATTTTCAGTGTAGTTTCATTATATATTTGTGTTTAATAAATATTTACTGAACTTCTAATAGGTGCAAACAACAAGGATCTGATACAAAATGAGAGGGCACAGCTTATGCAAGACTGCCCTCATTTATGATACCAAATGAATATCATCTCAGGTTTGAGCATTTGCTAGAACTCTCAAGAGTTTCTGGCTGTGAAACTCACAGTTATGCTTTGTTACAGGGACCCTCTAGCCAGTTACTGTAGAGTCAACTCTACGATGACTTCATGTGTGTCAGAGTAGAACTGTGTTTTTAAGAGTGTTAAATGGCTGATTTTTTTTCAGAAGTAGAATACTTGGCATTTCCCCCAAGGTACCTCTGGGTGAATTGGAACCTTCAACTTTTTGATTAGCAGCTGAATGTATTAGCTCTTTGCATCACTTCAGAACTGTATCACAGAGAAAGGATACAAATTAAAATCAGCCAAGGGAATTGGAATATAGGGCAGAGTCCACAAAAGTACTGAACATGGGCTTTCTAGAAGTCCTCTCCTGTGGAGCCAGAGAAGTGTTACTTGCTTGATGATGTGTGACCATGTACACAGAGGGTTGCCAACCATAAAGCTTGCCCAAACTTTGGTGTTAAGTTTTTACTGAGATTCCATGTTTAGTTGCCTGTGTGAGTAATCTCCAGCTCCTCAAAAAGTAGGGTGGATATTGCAGGACCCAAAGCTCCAATCATAACTTACAATGCTAGACTATCTGGTGGCCAGGGCCTCAAGCAAATAAGGACAGTTCTTCTACAGAGCACTTTCCAGAAGGTCAATGGTCTCTTTAGCCAGGGCTGCAGATGTCTGCAGATCTCTGAATGTGCTAGCTGCTGTGATAGACATTGAACCCAGACTAGAGAAGGCTTTGAAAATTTGCTGTTGCTATTGTTGGGTTAGGTTCATATTCTTTTTAATGCAAGTAAATGTTTATTTAGGTAGGCCTTGTTCTTTGAGCAAGACTTATGACTTATTCCCAATAGATACTCATCCAAGATCACTGTCTATTAGGGAGACGGAGGCAAGGCAGTAGAGTATGTGTGTGTGATACTAACTAGAACTTGAGGACAAAAATGGAAGCCTGGAGTCAGAACTTGATACTTAAGTTCATCCCGGGGAATAGCAAATCCAGGGCAATCCAAGACATATGATCCAATTCTGAAGGGATTCCTATGCGGGAGCAATGACATAAGGATTGTCTAGGGGAAGTACATAGTAAATTTGAGGGCATTTGGGGCTGACCAAGGACAAAGGATATGATCCTAAGATAGCAGCATTGTACACACAACAAGCCTTTCTCTGGGGCTGAAGACACAATGGCAGCGGCATGTAGTAGGCATTGGCCTATAGCAGGAAGCTTTCCAGAGGCAAGCAGGAGCTGCATGCACATGGCTGCCGGACAGGGAGTTTCTGGGAAGGAGGAGAAGGCGAAGGTGCTTATGAGTACCTAAGGTATGTCCTGCAGCCAAGTTGGGGGGTGGTGTCTCTGGGTCAGAGAACTGTGAATAAATGCTGTTGGAGTTTCTTGTAATTACAGTATCTGTCTTGTCTAGTGCTTGCAGATGTTGGGTGTGATTTTGTGGGGATATGTAAATCAGGCAATGTCTAAATGACAAGAATATTATTTAATAAAGAAATTAGATATGTATGAATTTTCATTTGGCACCAGTGGGCTTTATTTTGCTTTTCTTAAATCACAGAGCTTCAGATTCCTATGAAGAACTCAACTACTTAGAGCCAAAGTATAGAGGCCATCTTTGACTCATGTATGTGTCACAGGGGGCCCTATGTTTTCAGAAACACCAAGCTTAGATGATGGGGGAAACGCACAGACCATATAAGCAAAGAATTTTGAAAATGTGCTTGGTAAGCCAGGCAAGGGGGAGGGAGACTTTGGCTGTAGTAGGAGCATTTAGTGGGTAGTGAGGGGGATTTCAGCTGAGCCAGTCATAACAAGACTGTATTTTATAAAACTCATGGTTATTATTTCTCCCCCATATTTATTGATTCTAGATGAAGTATAGGTACCCAAGTGGAAGGAGATAGGAAACAATCCAAGACAGAAACCAAACCATGGAAAGTCAGTGAATGAGTGGGCATTAATTTTTCTTTGTCCTAAAGTATACAATTTTAGTAATGGACAAGCACTAAGTTCCCCCATAATGGAAAACTGCTAAATCAACACATTGATAATTTAAAATTCTAGAGAGTTTTTTGTTTTGAAGAAAAAGAAAATTATCAATCTTGACCTGGAAGTCAGTTAGATGAGTTCTCATGGCAGTCTGAATGATTAAAAAAGAATCCTTTTAAAATGACTTGCAGTGATAATTTTGTTATTTTAAAAAAGAATCTATTAAAATTTGAACTTTGCATGCACTACCTCATGCACTGAGTCCATGTTTTCCAACTACTGAATCTTCTTCTCTATTCCCAACTTTTGCATTCCAGTCACCCATTATTATCAATGTATCTTGATTGGGTGTTCGATCGATCTCCGACTGTAAAAGTTGGTAAAAATCTTTTTCCTCTTCCTTGGCTCTGGTTGTTGGTGCATGTATCTGAATGATAGTGGTATTCACTGTCCTTCCTTGTATGTGTAGGGATATTATCCTATCACTCACAATATTGTACTTCGAGATGAATCTAGCAATGGCTTTCTTAATTATGAAAGCAACTCTGTTTTTCCTGACCTTTTCATCTCCCAAGTAATATATCTTATGATCATCCGACTCAAAATGCCCCATGCCGGTCCATCTCATCTCCCCAATGCCTAGCATGTCAATATTTATGCATTCCACTTCTTCCTTAACAATATCTAATTTTCCTCCATTCATGGTTCTCACATTCCATGTCCCAATCACTAGTGTCTGCTTACAACTGTTCTTCTTCCTTGTATTTCCATAGCTGAAAGCTCAACGTCAGTTGCCCTTTCTGTTATCTACATGTGTTCTGTTGTACATAGGATTTTCGGAGGCCTGCTATGTCAGAAGTGGATGGCCAATCTTTCTTCCTAGTCTGTCTTAGTCTGAATGTTCAGATATAGAGAAGTATCAGACAGACCAGCATTTTACAGAAAAGTGAAAAATATATCCCTTATTGTGGAGCTAACCATTCGTGTCAGTGTTGTCCCTGTTCTTGGCACACGTGTCTTTACCCAGTTATTTCCCTGCTTCACCATCCACCAGGATACCCATTCACTTCTACCCACTCCCTTCAACATCCATCTCCCATTGTCTTGTCCTTGATCTGATAGCCTATATATGAAGCTTCCTTGGCTTCTGTGATTCCAAATACGCAGGCTTCAGACAGTTTCTTATGATATGACCATTGTCTCTTAAGTTCAGTGGCAGTGCTTTCCAAGTGAAGGTCATGTGTCTTGTAGAACTGGTGTGTAGATAGGTGTTTTGTTTTGTTTTGTTTTGTTTTTTTCCTTGCCCCGAGGGCCCGAACGGATCCGGTGCTGCGGCCTGGGGGCCTGCCCATTTACCTGCAATGTAGGTGGATGATTTCAGAACCGTTGGTGCCTTTTTCGCTGCCTGCCGGGGGTTTTCCTTGTTTCTCCTCTATGGGGCCTTAGAACGGATCCAGAAATGTGGCCGGTGACAGAAATGGAGCTGGAGAGAGGATGACAGAGTTTTGCACAATCAACGACTTATTCATCGCAAATACGTTTTTTAAGACACATAAACGCAGGTTATATACATGGATTTCACCTGATGGTATGCATAGGAATTAGATTGATTACATCTGCAGAAAGAACCACTGGAGAATTTCAGTATCAGCTGTGAAAACTAGTCCGGGAGCAAGTTCAAGCTTAAGCCGAGGAAAATTAAACCAAGTCCACGGGAACCAAAATATGACTT